CTAAACTACCATGTAGAAGCTACCATGCAATCTATTTCTGGGTTTAGCCACAAGGGTCAATAAGAAAATCTGACCTCGAATGAAATTATTTCTGGTGATGGTTAATGCTTCCATTAAATTCCCTTAGAGCATAGGATGCTGCGCCACAGTAGGACCTCATCAAATGCTGGTTTGATAGAAACTGCATTATGTGCTGTGGGGAAAATTAGCAGCTGTTGATAACTGAATGGAAAGAAACAAACTACCCTGGTACTTGTGGTACAACTTAGGGAACACCACAGAATGGGCCTCGTGGGAGGTTCTCAGTGAATTGAGTGGTGTGGCACTTTTGGGCGTGCTTTTGGAACCAAGTACTTAATCCATGTGCCTGTGAGTTTGGCACCTCTCATGGCAGCCCAAGTGCAACTAGTTTCTGAGGGGCCATTAAAAATCTCCTAATGGCAGAGAACTCTCAGACATGCCCACAAATTCCAAGACAGCCAGGCTGATCATCTGCTACTTTAATTGGTTATGTCAGTTTTTATGCCTTTGTTTCTCCTCCTTTCTGTAAGGGGGAGGAAACATAACCACAAAACTGTTTCCAGTGACCTCTTCAGAGGCAATTTCCAAGCAATTAAGTATGGGTTGAATCCAAAGTGTATTAATGAATTAAATTCTGTTCCTTGGCTGAAGATTCTGTTCCTTGACTGACACCTGAACCCAAAGGTTAGATTGAACTATCTAGGAAAATGGTTTTTCTCTTGTGTTTTCCCGCAAGCTTTGCTGTTTACGAAGATCTTGCATCAACACTTAATATTCACTCACGTGGCAAGCTTGCATGTGGTACCTTCATTCCACATTAATTTAGGGAACTCTACTGTGTGCCAGCATTCAATATCCAATTTGTCTTAGATTTTCGAATAGCGTCCCGTGATTTTATAACTGGGGAGTTCCTTGCATGGAAATATGTTTATAGGGACTGCTTAATTGTGACTAACCCATCACATAGAGACTCTGCTTTGGTAACAGATTTGGTTCCAAGGGTCTAGGATGAAGGGACACTTCTCATATGGGGAAGACGGGATTAATCCTTGAAAATGATGCTGAAGCCAACTTCTGTACCAGGATAGCAGCTTGGCAGACTTCTGTATGATCCATGTAAGGGTCTGTTTGCTCTCTGAGATTTTGGGTGCCTTCTCTAGCCCCTGAGTGCTGGGCCTCTTCTGAATTCCATAGGGGTGGAGGTGAAGGTACTAGCGGCTCTTGCCCACACCCAATTCATCCATTCCTGGACAGCAGGGATTCTGCTCATTACCTTGGTGCCCCGGTGCCTGAAGCACAATAGGTCCTCAGCAAACCTTTGTTGAATTCATGCCATGAACATTAATTGAGCTCTTTTTATACACTGTGCACTGGGATTGGGACCATGGAAAATTTAGAGATGAAAAGATCCAGCTTCAAGGGGCATCTGGAGGAACTTACCCTCTAGCAGGAGAAATTGCTAATGAGAAAAGGTATTTTGGGGAGTAGAGTGAGGTGTTGGTCTAGCTGGCAGGTTCAGCCTATGCTCAGTAGCTCTCTGGTATGGAAAATTCCTCAGAATGTTGATTCAGCTGTAGATTTCTCTGGCAGCACTGACTCTTGCCTTCCTTTGACCACATTTTATTTCCCAAACCTGGGTGTTACTGGGAAGACACTGAGCTGTTTTATTGAAGAGAATCGACTTCCCCAATTTTTAAGTAAGTCTGTTGATTCCTTGAAGACTTCACTAATCAGAGTTATGAATATTTCAAAAACACTTCCCAGTCTTCAGATGAATGGATTTGTAGGTTTTCTACATTGCTGTCTCCCTAGCCCCATGAGGAATAATGTGGGTATCCTTTTCCCTTTTAGATTTCTCTCTTCCTCTAACCTGCGCCCACTCCCAGCCTCTGATAGACACATTTGCAGTAAATCACAGAAATGTTGCTGATGTCAGCAGCACTGATATGCATTAGAGGAACCACTTCAGAGGAAATTACTCAGAGGGTGATGCTGAAATGCAAAGCTGTTTGGTAGGGTATTTTGTAGAAACTGTTTTCTCCCTTTGATGGATCTTGTTTATTTTTTTTTGACTTAGTAGGCACAGTGAAGGAAGAACCATCCAAATGTTTTTTTTTTTTTTTTTTTTTCCATTTAAGTTTTGTGTAGGAGGTTTTGGTGACTTTGAAATGAACCAAGAGCACTGAGCAGCTACATTGACAAATGGAGATGGCTGAGGCTGCTTGCAAAGCACAGTGTGTTGGGGTGTGGAGCCTCCATGTAAGTGACCTGGGGAAAGGCAACAGTGAGGGCACACCTCATTCTACAGAAATGGTTTAAAAAATATACATATGATACCTCACTTTTGATGCACACAGACTGTGCTGTTTAAATGCTTTCAGTGGAAAATCCTTTTGTAAAGTACACATCTATCTTGTAGAGTAGGATTTCTGTATACGATCTCAGGTTCGTTTACAGGGAGGTACCCCTGGATGTCTTCATGACATTTATCATGACACCTGTTGCTGAGCAGAGAAAGAGGGCAGGACTACCGTGGGGCATCAAGGGCCATTTGAAGAAGGAAGTGGTGGACTGAGAGTGATAGCGACCCGTGAGGCTGCGTGGTTTCTGTAGCAGTGTTCAGCAGCCTGTGACTCTGAGCAGAGAGAAGGCATATTATACAGGGATGTTTCCAGGTAGCTCCAGGAAAAGACAAAAGAGGAGGAAGTTGAGTCTGTTAGCTAAAGAGCAGTGTTGAATATGGGATCCACGCCGGGTGGAGAAGAGAAAGAGAACACAGGGAGGCTAGGATGACAGGAGAAAGTAGAGGCAGGGCATGATGTGGGAGCAATGAGGGTAGCAAGCTGGAAAGAGAGGATGCTCTAGTCAATGTCTTAGTGTGCCTTAGGGCTGCTATAATGAAATACCATAGAGTGAGTAGCTTTTGCACAACAGAAATTTATTTCTTATGGTTCTGGAGGCTGGGAAGATCAAGATATCAAGGCAGACAGTGTCTGGTAAGGATCTGCTGCCTGGTTGACAGACAGCTGTCTTGCTGCTGTGCCCTCACTTGGTGGAAGGACCAAGAGATCTCTCTGGGTTCTCTTTTATAAGGGCATGAATCCAATTCATGAAGGCTCAGCCCTCACCGTCTAATCACCCCCAAAAGCCCCCACCTGCTAATCCCATCACATTGGGGGTTAGGTTTCAGTGTGTGAATTTTGGGGGACACAAAAATTCAGACCATAGTAGTCATAGCTTCAACTATTTCTGAGTATTTCTGAGACAGTTCTTGTGGTAATAAGGCTTAGGGTGTGGCCATAGGGAGACTCAGCTGTAGTGGAGCTGTTGGAGCTGTGCCAAGGTCACCCAGATCCATTTTGTTCTGTGCACCTGTCTTCTAGCTTCTTGGGGCTTCTCTCTTTCTGGCCTGTACCTACAGCCTTTTTCAGAGAACTCTCCTTAGTCTACTGGAGCCTGTTTTCAGGATGTTTCTAGGAGGTTTTTTTTTTTTTTTTTTTTTTTTTTTTTTTTGGAGATGGAGGATGGAGTCTCCCTCTGTCACCCAGGCTAGAGTGCAGTGGCACAATCTCAGCTCACTCCAACCTCCATCTCCTAGGTTCAAGCCATTCTCCAGCCTCAGTCTCCCAAGTAGTTGGGATTACAAGCATGCACCACTGTGCCTGGCTTTTTTTTTTTTTTTTTTTTGTATTTTTAGTAGAGCTGGGGTTTCACCATGTTGGCCAGGCTGGTCTCAAACTCCTGACCTCAGGTGATCCCCTGCCTCAGTCTCACAAAGTGCTGGGATGACAAGTACGAGCCACTGAGCCTGGCCATCCTAGTAGTTTGTATCACCCACTCCCTCATGGTTTCTCTGGAAGCATCTCTTAAATAAATAACTCACAAATTCTCATCCAGGATCTGCTTCTGGGATACCTGAGTCAGTGGTTGAGATGGAATGGAGATGATGGCAGTGGTGATAAATTCAAGGAAATGGGAGGCTTGGGTCTTGACTGGGTTGTGTGTGGGATGCTGAAGTCACTTAGGAGGGAAACAGGACCATAGAGAAGGCTGCGGGAAACCAAGGGAGTAGCCAGGTCTACCACTGATGGCCATGGGGAAGAGTGGGAAGTGGAGGAGCCAGAGGGCTGGGCTCTCAAAGGAACTGTGGGTTTGACACAAGAATGTGGGGTATTGGTTTTCCAGGACAGTGTGACCCTGATGTTGTGAGTGAGGGAGACTGAACAGCCCCTACCCCAGAGTCACACTCAGAGCACAGGGTCCTCAGGGAAAGCCCAGGTATCAGGAGAAAAGGCGCAGGAAGGGACCCTGAAGAGACTGGGGACATGCGGGAGTCTTCAGATCTTCAGCAGGGGCCCCTGAGGCATCTCTGGAATGGTTCGTGGTAGGGGTGAGGGGAAGGATGGATCAGAGGGGAGGAGGCTGAGAGCAGAGGAGAGATCAAAGATCAAAGCTCCATCAAGTGACCTCACTGGCCTCACACTTCCCAGAATTGGTCCCTTCAGACCCGGTGGAGGCAGTCTGGATGTGGGGTGTGGAGATTGGTAGTACTCCTGGCCCACAGTGGGCATGCATTGGTTGAGTCAACAAATCAATGACACATCAAGTTTGTAGATGCCCCGCCTTTTCATCATTCTAAACCATTGTCACTTCCATGTATTTTATGACCTGATAAATATGGAATTAATCGAAGTACCTCTAGCTACTTGTTATCACCATTATTGGGTGGGACACAGCGAACAGATTTCCTAAAGTTAGGGAATTACACAATAGGACATGTTATGGACTTGAACCATAAGATCTATTTTTTTTTTTTTTTTTTTTTAAGATAGAGTCTCAATCTGTCACCCAGGCTAAAGTGCAGTGGTGCAATGTTGAGTCACTGCAACCTCCACCTCCCAGTTCTCCTGCCTTAGCCCCAGAGTGGCTGGGATTACAGTGTGCACCACCATACCTGGCTAATTTTTGTATTTTTAGTAGAGACGGGGTTTCGGCATGTTGGCAGGCTGGTCTGGAAAGGATCTTTCTAATAGGTCAAAAAATATTTTTCAGTTTTGCTTTCTACTGAGGATCTGTAGATCTACAGTGTAACTACTTATGATCTGTTTGCTTGTGACTGCAGATACTGAAGGAGTTTGCTGGAGAGGGAGAAGAGTGTGTGGAGGAAGAGGGGAGGGCTGGAGAAGTGAGATGAGCCCTGAGCACACGGGACACTGGAGGCCAGGGAAAGAACCGTGGCGGTGCTTGTGGGGTTTTAACAGGTGCAAACTAGGAATTTCAGAAGGCTCACCTGGCTGCTGAGTGGAGCCTGGGGTGGGGTGGGGGGATGAGGAGACCCCTCCAGGAGCCAGTGAGGAGAGATAACTGCTTTTGACAAGACACTTGGGAAAGACATCTGGAAGGAATGGTGCTGACAATAAGATTTAAAACCCTTGGCCCCAGGGAAAGGAGATATTTTGAGAAATATGACTGCTTATATTATTTTTAATCCCAAGAGGAGGAAAAAGTTCTTTCCTGTATAAAGCACGCTAGTTAATTTAAGTTGTGGAGGAAAAAACTTAGGGCAAGAGACAGAATATGATATTCAGGAAGCATTTTGGAAGAAGACACAAGGACCCCCAGCTGTGGCTGTGTGCATCTTTAGGGCCTTGATTGTGGAGGCAGGATAAAGGAGTCCATCTCGTCAACATGGCGGAGTCAGAGTCTATTGGGAGAATCATGAGGTAGGCAGCTGTAATCCCAAAAGATGGTGGTCCAGTGGGATATGCCTGGTCTGCTCTGACCAGCTCAGCACACACAAGGAATAGCTCTGGTCCTGGGCAATTTGTGCTGTGGGTTGGAGGGTGAGAGTTCATTTTATCGAAACAATGAAGACATCCCACCTGCTACTAGGAGCAACCAAAAATGCTCAGAAGTTCTGGAACAGGGATGCTGCTGAGCAGGGTTTCCTGGCAGCAAGAGAGAGAAAGTGGTAAAAAAACAGCAAAATGCTGCTATGGTATAGTACTGAAGTCATCAGGCACACGCTGAGACTGCCTGTGAGTGAGGCCTTGTGAATGGTGCTGGAGACGGAGACTAGGATAAGATCTGCCATCTCTGATGCTGACGCCCAGCCCGGTTCTCCCCTTTTCCTCTCTAGTTTTTCTTTCTCTGTCGTGCATCCCCCTCCATTTGCTGTCCCTTAAATGTTGTTCCCTTGAGCATCATCTTTTACTCTCTTCTCATTTTACATCTCCCTCTGGACCACTTCATCCAGTCCTGTGGCTTCAGTACCACTTACATACTCATCACTCTTAAATCTAGGGATTCAGCTAGATTATTCCCCTGAGTTCTGGTCCCTTATGCCTCATGTTAACTGGGTAGCTCCACCTGCATGGGCTACAAGAGCTAACTCTCCTGCATCTTCTGTCTTGGAGAGCACGATACTCTTATAAGCTTACAAGAGTCATCCCAGATGCCTCCTTCTTCCTTTGCATCCATCACTAGGACCTGCACATTTTACTTCCTTAACACCCCTTGTCTCTGACTCCTCCTCTGCTGCTGCCTGAGTTGAGGCCTCATAATACATTCCAGTAAACTCCTACCCACACCCCCCCCCCCAGACGATCTCTCACTTCCTCCATGTCTTTTACGCACTGCTAACAGAATCAGCTTGCTAAACCCAGGCCTGACCCCATGGCTCTTCTCCCTGTGTTAACCTTGATGGCTTCCCATGTTCATTAATAAGACCAACAAGAGCCACACTCTCTCCTCTGCTTGTCTTTGCAGCTTTATTTTGGTGTAGCCATCTTCACACCCTCTAGTCCTGACACGCAGACCTGGTGTAATTTCCCAAATGCCCCAGGCTGATTCGTGGCTGAGTGTCTTTGTATCTGTTGCCCCCTTTTGCTGTTCTGCCCTCCTCTCCACCTCCTCTGCCCTCTCGCAGACACCTAATGCCCTTTCCACACCAGTGGGCACCTTGTCTTTGCATTCTCGTCTCCTCTTCGGTGGCATTGACACTCCCTCTTCATGTCTTTCTGTCCCCCACACCTCTGTCAAGCACAGCATCTGCATGCTTTGTTGTATTTGCTTACATAGATCACATCGTTTTCTTCACCTCCTAATAATATGGACAGTTCACTTTGATTGAGGACTTGCTTTGAACAAGGCATTGAGCAGCATGCCCTACATTTTATGTTAAATCTTCCCAATAGTGCTCCTGCTTCTGTCCCTTTCCAGGGAGGAGGAAGGAGGCTTGGAGAGAGGACTGTCTTTTAGGAGCCCTGCCCAGTGTTTCCTGTGAGGGTGGGGCCATCTTGGAAGGTAAACCTATGGTGGGGATAAGCTGGGTGACTGTTGAAGTCCAACCTTCCCCCTTCTTCCTCTAACCCTGATAACCTTATTCTCTGGGCCCTGTCTGCTGGTGGAGAGGCTTCTGACTTTTTTTTCCACGCCTTTGGTTTATAAATACAAGAAGAGATTTGGGGAAAGATCAGAGGAAACTGTCGAGCTTACAAGTCCAGAGAAGGAAGTCACTGCTCCTTTAAGTCTCATGTGAACCCCTTGTTCTCTCCCCAGCTTGTGGGGTGAAAGAAAAGCCCTTTAGTCTTTTGGGTCCTCAAATCCCAGTTTATGCAGTTTGGCCCCAGTCAGAGGGACCCTAGGAAGGCAGACTCAGGGTAAATTCTGCCTGTCTTCCACCAAAGAGGGGACTCACCAAGTGTGACTCATGCCGTTCAATAGAATTTTTAAAATCTAACAAGTATTTTGTACCCCTGAGTGAAAGAGAGGCTTGTAGCTCTTCATGAAGAGAACAAGAAAGGCCAGAACTGAATGTTTGGAGCCCAGTGAAGTGGAATACTGCCCTGTCTCCTGTCTGTCCGCTCTAGCACTTGTACAAACCATGAAGAACTCGCCTTGGACTGTTTGCTTTTTGAGAACTTTAAAACCTCGACTCTGGATTTCTGCTTGGGGAAAAAACCACAATAGTGCCAGGGGTGCCCCCATATGCAGGATTAACTCTGCAGTCAAAGTTTTTGTTGGGCAGGTGTGTGAACTTGATATCATAAATGCTGGCCCAAAGCAAATGGAAGAATGGATGAATGAGCAAATTCAGGAATGGAACAAACTGTAACCGGGGGTCTCCTAGTTGTAGGTTCTCTACTAAACTTCGCATTGAGACACAAAGGAAGGGCGTCTTATAATATAATGTTGGGGGATGAGCAGTCAGCTTGGAGGTGGGGGCATGTGAGGTGGGTTTTGACGTTTGCGAAGGAATTGACCGAAAAAAAAAGAGTCAAGAGGTGAAAATAATCTGGGAATCAAGACCTGTTTCTCCGGGACAGGTGTGAGCAGGTCTGGGTGCTGCTGGGTTTTGTTGGGGCAAAGGTTGCTTGTGGGGGCGTGGCAGTGGGTGAGGCCGGGAGATAGGCAGGAGCCAGGTCCTGGAAGGGAGAGTCGGGGAGCAGGGCATGGAGCCTGCACTTTGCTCTGAATCTTGGTGGTACCTTCAGAGGATCGTTAGCAGGGGTCCAGGTGATCACATTGACACCTGAGAGAGCAACATGCCGTGTACGCGGCTGGGATATGGAGGACGGATTTAAGGGGGACAGGACTGAAGGCTGTCACAATGATTCAGGTGAGAGAAGATGGGGGTCTGGACTAAGGGGACAGGAAAGGACAGATGTGAGATGAGGTGGCAGGCAGTTCTAGCTCCCTCTTCCCCCCAGGCTGCCTTGTTTCCTCTTCTCATGGCTCCATAGGGTCTCAGTCATCTCATCACAGCTTGATCTCTTCCATCTGGAAGTGCAGCCTGAAGTTTCGAAGAGAGCAGGGAGCAATGCTTCACCCAAAGGGAGAACCTCTCCTCGGGTGGCGTTTTGGGACCATGCCTTGCTCACTTGGTGCATACAGACTTAGTGTTACTGCCATTCTTACTGGGATCAGCTTGATCGCCTTTAAGGTAGGGCTGTCCTGTGGCAACAGGGAAAACGTGATTTGGTTATTGGGGTATCTGGAATCAGAGGCAGCAAAGACTCTGCTGTAACAGCTGCTGGGACAGCTGGAGGCCGGTGTGGGTGGAGCACCCAAGGTGGAATCCTGCACTGCTCATCTTTCCTGCCCTCTTCCTAACACCCTCCCTCCCCAGCAGCCTGAAGTCTGCCTATGCCTCTCCAGGCTGAGCTGTAACCAGGGGCTCTTCGGAAGCTCTGAGCCATCAGTGCAGGTGGCCCTGGAATGATTCCAGACTTGGAGCAGGGGTGGGAGGTCGGCTGTGGGGCAGGGGCAGGTGAAAGGAGGGTGTCCTTTTCCTCTCGCCAGGGAGTCTGCAGTCACAGTCACACTTTGCCTGGGTCAGTAGGCAGAGTCATGCTGCTGTGTGACAGTGGCACTGAGGCAGCTGCATTTCAGGTTTCCAAGAGACTCTGAACCCTTGGAATACCATTTGTTTCAGGTGACGTGGAGGAGTGGAGGCACTCGGGTTAGGTGTCTGAAGACGGATTCAAGGATGCTGCTGCTTGTTAGCTTGTCATAGGTTGCTCAGTGTCACTTCTCTGGCCTGTAGTTTCCTCATCTGTCAGTGGGGGCAGATAATGATCATTGCCTTGTACAGAAGGTTTGGTGAAGATAAAAACAGGTTCACTGACTGGGTGCAGTGACTCACACTTGTAATCCCAGCACTTTAGGAGGTTGATGCCAGCAGGTCTCTTGAGGACAGGAGTTTGAGACCAGCCTGGACAATGTAGTGAGACCCCATCTCTACAAAATATTAAAAAAGTAGCTAGGCATGGTGGCATATATCTGTGGTCCTAGCTACTGGGGAGGCTGAGGTGGGAGGATAGCTCGAGCCCAGGAGTTTGAGGTTACAGTGAGCTATAATTGTGCCACTGCACTGCAGCCTGAGCGATAGAGCAAGACCCTGTCTCAAACAAAAGAAAGCAAAACAAAAACAGCTTCATGCATGTGTAAGATCTTTGTTAATTCTTCCATTAACTCTGAAGGCAGGATGTGTCTTATTAATTTATGTAGCTCCAGTGCCAAACGCAGTGCCAGGCAAACTCAGTTGTTTATTGATTAAACGAATGAATGGATGGTGCAGTAATATCTGTGGGGCCTGAGAAAGCCTGAGTAATGTAAACTTATTAAGAGCTTGTTCAACCATGAAAAAGCCGATTTCCACATGTGCCCTTCCGTATAACCCACATTTAGATGAAAATGAAATATGTGCCGATATTCTTTTTTTTTTTTTTTTTTTTTTTCTTTTTGAGACAGAATTTCACTCTTGTCCCCCAGGCTGGAGTGCAATGGCACGATCTCGGTTCACTGCAACCTCCACCTTCCTGGTTCAAGTGATTCTTCTGCCTCAGCCTCCCAAGTAGCTGGGACTACAGGTGCACATCACCATGCCCGGCTAATTTTTATATTTTTAGTAGAGCCGGAGCTTCACCATGTTGGCCAGGTTGGTCTCGAACTCCTAGCCTCCCAAAGTGCTGAGATTACAGGCGTGAGCCACTGCGCCCAGCCAGGCAGATATTCTCGAGGAAACATTTTAACATGAAAACTAGCAGAAAGGATGTTATCTTTCAACATTTCCTTTCTCATCACTTCTTGGCGGCACTTTTGCCGCCCAGTAGTCTTCTGTTGGAGCTGTGAAGTGTGATAGGCCATTACTTTATAGTTACATTCATTATTGATACGTTGTGAAGGAAAGAACTCCACCGCCATTCAGAAACTGAAGTAGTCAATCTCATAGACTGGAAAATATTTTTATGCCTATTTGAAACAAATGTCATTCCTATTTTTTGGGATAAAAGGGTCCTTTCCCCCTGGAATTGCTGTGTTTCCTCTTCCTGTTCCTGCACTCTGCAGAACTGACTTCGAAGTCAGATGATTCCCTTCTTAATCTGGCTTCTCTCTTTTGGGCCGCTTAACCTTGACTTAGCCATTGAACCTGTCTGGGTCTCAGTTTCTTTGTCTGTGAAGTGGGGCTGTGTTGGGCATGAGCATGCACCTACAGGCCTCTAACTGGAGGGAGTGTTGGTGATCAGGGCCCTGGCTGCTGCCCTGAAGTCCACGGCTGGGCTTGCACTGCGGGTCCGTTGCTCCGGTCTGCTGCCAGCCAGTGTCTGTGCTCGGCAAGGATACCATGGTACGATTGTTTCTGGGAGACGCAGGACTCCTCAGACAGCTGACTTCAGCTTGAGAACTCCTTGATGGGCTTGCTAAACTTCCTTAGGCTGGAAGATGCTTACCTCCTCCTTCCTTCTTTCCTTCTTTTTCCAGGGGTCAGACTTACATAGAATCTAGTGGCTGCTCTAGCTTCCCCAACTCCCTCTCATTTTCTCTCACACATGCATTCCCCCTAATCAAATTCATGCACATTTAATCCCTTCTTGGCATCTGCTTCTGGGGGGACCTACCTGGACTCATGCAATGTGATAATTCCTTGTAGTGAGGACCGAATGCAGTGATGGAAGCAGGATGTTTGTCAGAGCGACAGCATGAGTAAGTGCCCAGTAGGCCATCAGGGCTCCTGTCACCTTCACCACCATCCTCATCACATCCTCATCACCATCTGGCCAAATTTGCTTCTTTGTTGGTTCCAGGCACAGAGACCTCCAGTGGTTCATTCCAGGTCACAAGACAACTTCGTATTAGGGTGAGAACAACTATGGCTTCTAAGGAGAAGAAATGGATTAATGAAAATACCGTTTAAAAATTTATCCAACTTGGCTGGGTGCAGTGGCTCACATCTGTAATCCCAGCACTTTGGGAGCTGAGGCAGGCAGATCACTTGAGGTCAGGAGTTCAAGATCAGCCTGGCCAGCATGGTGAAACCCCATCTCTACTAAAAATACAAAAATCAGCTGGGCATGGTGGTGCATGCCTGTAGTCCCAGCTACTTGAGAGGCTGAGGCATGAGAGTAGCTTGAACCTGGGAGGTGGAGGTTGCAATAAGCCGAGATCATGCCACTACTGCACTCCAGCTTGGGTGACAGAGCAAGACTCCATCTCAAAAAAAAAAAAAAAAAAGAAAAAAAAAAAAAGAAAAGAAAAAAATGTATCCAACTTAAGCACAATCCAGATCCGTTTCTAGCCATTGAGATGTGCAGTCTTCTTTGCCAAAACAACCAACTCGATCCTTAGTGAAATGCACAAAAGGTTTTGTAATATTCTGAGATCTCTGCCTGTACTCCTGACATCTACAAATATACTCCAGCCAGTAGACCAGGGCTGCTCATTTGCTGTTCCTGAGAACCCTGTGGACATTTAGAAAAAAAGGTGGTTGCTATTATTCACATCTCACAGTAAGCAAACAGAGAAACTAAGTGACAGTTTCGAGGTCATGCAGTCGCTGATGAGTTTGGGACTAGAACTCTGGTTTTTGCTCTGATGCTTTGGAAGCTCAAGAATGGGTGGATTCTGTTCAAACTCTGCCCTCATGGACAGTCTTTTAGCAAACTGGCACCAGGACCTGGCCTGAAGAGACCTTTCTCAAGCCCAATTCTGCCCAGCTTCAGGGATGCTAGAAGCTTGGGAAGCATCCATGATGCAGGCCAGTGGAGACGACCAGCCTCCACTCACCTCCATGCTTATGCCATTGCATGTCGGCTGATGAAGCTTTCAGCTAATGTTGGTTACCTGGTGCTGTGGAGCACATTCCTTAAGCTGACTGGCAAGCCCCTGAGGCTGGGAGGAACTGTGCCTTATCCCAACCATACCACACCCCTTTGTGCCCATTCAGCATTAAATAAATGTATTTATTTATTTATTTGTTTGTTTGTTTGTTTTTGAGACGGAATCTTACTCTGTCGCCCAGGCTGGAGTGCAGTGGCGTGACCTCAGCTCACTGCAAGCTCCGCCTCCCAGGTTCACGCCATTCTCCTGCCTCAGCTTCCGAGTAGCTGGGACTATAGGCGCCTGCCACCACGCCCAGCTAATTTTTTGTATTTTTAGTAGAAACAGGGTTTCACCATGTTAGCCAGGATGGTCTTGATCTCCTGACCTCATGATCCGCCTGCCTCGGCCTTCCAAAGTGCTGGGATTACAGGCGTGAGCCACCACCTCCGGCAGCATAAATGTTTGTTTTTGAGAGTGCTGGTGATTCCGATGGGGCTTTTGTGTGAAGGAATTATCACCACCACCAGAAAACAACATTTGCTCTATGCCAGGCACTATGCCAAGAAACTGAGATCCAATGATTAAAAGATGAACTTTCTGGCCGGGCGCGGTGGCTCAAGCCTGTAATCCCAGTACTTTGGGAGGCCGAGATGGGTGGATCACGAGGTCAGGAGATCGAGACCATCCTGGCTAACACGGTGAAACCCCATCTCTACTAAAAAAATACAAAAAACTAGCCGGGCGAGGTGGCGGGCATCTGTAGTCCCAGCTACTCGGGAGGCTGAGGCAGGAGAATGGCGTAAACCCGGGAGGCGGAGCTTGCAGTGAGCTGAGATCTGGCCACTGCACCCCAGCCTGGGCACAGAGCAAGACTCCGTCTCAAAAAAAAAAAAAAAAAAAAAAAAAAAGATGAACTTTCTGACTCCAAGAAGCCGGTAGGCTAGTGGGGAAGACCGGCACGCTGAGCCTGCCTGGAAGAGCCCACGACGACTTCATAGAGGAGGTGGCTTTTGGCTGAGACTGAAGAGGATGGGAGTTTTCCAGGCAGATGAGGGTGGGAAAGGGGTAACTGGCTGAGAGGACAACACCTGCAAAGGTGTGGAGGTGTGAACGGAGCACTGCTGTGTTTGAGGACTTGCTTTCAGTATTGCTGGAGTGCCAAACTGTTTGCCATTTGATGCGGCTCATCCACATTGTCTGTGTGGTTTGGATGTGCCAGCATTCCTTCCACCCTTCATTCACTTATTCCACCATCATTGATTGTCTACGCACCATGTGCCAGGCACTGTGCAAAACACTAGGGATGTAGAGGTGAGGGGTAGACAGGGTGCCTGCCCTCATGGAGCTTTCTGTCTAATGGGAGTGCTGGACAAGGGTGCAGGCTCTATTAGCAGCACAGCACAGTGAGTGCTGGGCAAGGGAGAAGTATTAGTGTGTTCTCCTGCTGATGATAAAGACATACCCAAGACTGGGTAATTTATAAAGGAAAGAGGTTTAATGGACTCACAGTTCATATGGCTGGGGAAGCCTCACAATCATGGTGGAGGGTAAATGAGGAGCAAAGTCACATCTTACATGGCAGCAGGCAAGAGAGCATGTGCAAGGGAACTCACCTTTATAAAACCATCAGATCTTATGAGACTTATTCACTATCATGAGAACAGCACAGGGAAAAGCCCACCCCCATGCTTCAATTACCTCCCACTGGGTCACTCCCCCAACTTGTAGGGATTATGGGAATACAATTTAAGGTGAGATTTGGGTGGGGACACAGCCAAACCATATCAGGACACCTGAACTAATGGAGGGCAGATTAGTTTCCTGGGGCTTCCATAGCAAATTGCCACACATATAGTGGCTTAAAGCAACACTAATTTATGATTGTATGGTTCTGGAAGTCAGAAGTTCAAAATCAGCCTCACTTGGCCAAAATCAAAGGGTAAGCAGTACAGGTTCCTTCAGGAGGCTCTAGGGGAGGATCCTTCCCTTGCCTTTTCCAGCTTCTAGAAGGACCACATTTCTGGACTCAAGGCTGCGTCACTCCAACCTGTGCTTCTGTCCTCATATCCCCTCTCTCTCGTGTCCTCCTGCTTCCTTCTTATAAGAACTCTTGTCATTATATTGAGCCTAACCATGTAATCCAAGGTCATCCCCCATCTCAACATTCTTAATCACATCTGCAAAGTCCCTTTTGCCATGTAAGATAACATCCATCTATGTCTTGGGGATTAGGATGTGGACCTCTTTGTAGGCCATTATTCTACCTGCCTCCAAGGCAGGAAGAGAGAAGGTGCTCCCGGAAGTGATATTTAATCTGAGATTTCTGGGTCAGAAACGAGATACACATGGAAGCAGGGAGGCCCCTTGGGAGGCTGCTGGGCTGGTCCAGGCAAGATGTGACGGTGGGCAGGATGAGGCTGCTGGCCACGGGTGGGGGAAGGCCCAAGGGATGAAATACAGTGAGGAGGCAGAATGAATGGGAGATGTGGGCAGTGGTAAAAGAAAGCCACCCAAGGCAAGGCTCACCTTTTCGGCATCAACAGGAGCAAGGGGGAAAGTGAATGCAGCATCTTTAGGGAAAGGTTAGCAAGAACATAATGCCCAGGTTGTTGATTCTAATGTATAGCTCTTTCATTCAAGATTCCAGACAATTTTGCGTTTGCGTAAATCTGAGGGAAATTTAACATGGAGTGATTTTATTGGATTGGATAATATGCCATAAAAGACTGACATTCAGCTCGGTTTCCAAAGAGAGAAACTGATTCCGAGGGCCTAGGAGGAGAGGCAGATGTTTACAAACTTAGATTCTTCTAAGCCACCACCCTTACAGTCAGGTGGTTTGAACAGGGAGTAACATGGCCTGCTTTTTGACTTTTCCAACAGTGATTGATCAGTTCAACTCCCTGCTGGAGTGGGACTGTTTACCCCACTTAGGTAATTAGGTTTATCATCTCCTAATACTTTCTTTACACAACAGCCAGCCTGCACCATGACAGAGACTATAGTAAGAAGTGGAATAATAAAGGGAGAAAAACACTGAAGTACGATGGCCATTCATTGTTGCATAAGGCATTTCTGTGACGTCTGATAGCATTGCGTGTGCGTCACAACCCCAAACTTCCTGCCATCGCAGAAAAGCCTCCAGCTGACCCTATTTATTTCCAAAGTAATGAAATTACCCTGCCGAGAACAGGGACCTTAGAGAATTCTATGTGCTTCAAAAACCAGGAAACATTTTCTTTCCAATGACATCTTATTGGAAAACAATAGAAGAAAAATTCTATTACTAGTAGATCAGGAGTGATTATGCCTAAGTCACATCTTCTATTAAGATATAACAAGCTCATCCTTTTTTCCTTTGTTTTGTGACGAGAGGACTTTTTAAGTCTCTAGACGTTCATCTCTTCTCTGCTCTTGGTATCATCACCCCTTGGTACTTAGATAGAGTAGTTGGGTAGCCCTCTCCTATTTACTTCCTCTCCAAGTTCAACAACATGTTTGTTTTTAAATCTGGTGATTTGTTGTGTTTCTTACACATTGTTTCAACAAGGAAGCTAAGGGAGGAGGTGAATTACAAATGACAGAGAGACAGCTTTCAATTTGGACCCTTGTAGAAAAATGTAAGCATTTCAAACTCAGTTTATACTTTTTTTTTTTTTTTTAACTGGGACCTCTGGTGCTTATCTTTTAGAACTCAAATGGGTACCTAGCAATTGATCACATTTCCTAACCGCAGGCTTAGTGACCCAGTGTTTCATCCTCACATTTGAAAGCTGGCTCAAAGAAGACATCGGTGCTTTGTTTCTGACACGTTTTGTATTTGTTTATAAACAAACTCTCTTCTTCTTTATCCCCCACCCTGACTCCTCAGTGGCTGTTCCCGCAGCAGCACCGGTGTGCCAGCCCAAGAGTGCCACTAACGGGCAACCCCCGGCTCCGGCTCCAACTCCAACTCCGCGCCTGTCCATTTCCTCCCGAGCCACAGTGGTAGCCAGGATGGAAGGCACCTCCCAGGGGGGCTTGCAGACCGTCATGAAGTGGAAGACAGTGGTTGCCATCTTTGTGGTTGTGGTGGTCTACCTCGTCACTGGTGGTCTTGTCTTCCGGGCATTGGAGCAGCCCTTTGAGAGCAGCCAGAAGAATACCATTGCCTTGGAGAAGGCAGAATTCCTGCGGGATCATGTCTGTGTGAGTCCCCAGGAGCTGGAGACATTGATCCAGGTGAGCAGGGGGTGAGTCGACCTTAGACCAACTGGTGGGGTGGATGGCAGTGTTGGTTTTATCTTCTGGGTCTCTAGTCTTGCTTTCAGTTGAGAGGCTCCTGGTGGTCATGGAAGTTCTCTCCGGGGAGGTGACATGTGATCTGAGACCTCCAAGAAGCGATAGTGAGGCATGTGACAGTGTGGGGGAAGGAGGGTCTGTGTTCTGCATCTTGTCTTGGATGAGTGGTCAGAGGCGGCAGCAGGGCAATGGACTCTGGATTTTCAAGTTCAAGTCCACCTGTGTGTGCTGATTAATTCCTTGGTTCTGAACTCTCTGTGGAATGCTGGGATAGAACCCAAAGAAGGAAAGAATTTTAAATATGCAGATTTAGAATAAGCAGGGATATATGAACCTGTCCAAGGTCCATGAAGATGAGGTAGAGAAGAGGCCACCAGGTGTGTGGGTGAAGAGGCTGTCAGTGGCCTGAGACAGCTGTTATAGTGGATTTATGGGGATGAAATAATATGGATCACAGTAGTAGTAATCATCAGGTTTGCTGTTTTTGAATACTTACTGTGTATCAGGCACTGTACTAAGGCCTTTACATACCCTGGATATTAAGGAAAAAAGATTCATAGGAAAATGGAAGCAGAGAACTTGAACTGCAGCCTAAAGAAGCAAGGCAACACTTCTGGGCAACGGGTATGGGCTTTGCAGGGGTGGCCTGTGGCAGTGAGGAGCTATAGGAAAGCCAGAGAGTCATCTACAGGGCTGCGGTGCGAGGGACTGGATCAGGACGGTTGAGAAGTCCGGGAAGCCAGAGAGAAAAGCAGTTCCTATGAGGAAGAAAGGGAAATGGTGGAGAGCCCTGTTGGAGGGCTTCACCTTGGACGTGAAGGAGGAAGGCTGCCTCTGAGGCTGAAGTTCCACTTTCTATCCCAGACACCCTGCTGAACTACAAAGAGTGGGTTTTGGTGGAAGGCAGTGACATTTATGGAGGTGAGGGAGAGTCTCATCTGTCTGGGGGCTCTAAAGTTTGGAAGGTGGAGGGATGGAAAAGACAGTTTTTACCATTCCTTCTGGCTCTGGGATGATGCACATTAAATTCTAGTGGCTACAACAATCCAAGATAGTGTTGGATTCACCAGTCTGTGCTGTTTTAGTATTTATTTATTTCCTACCATACCGACAGAGTAGGGGAATTCTGATGCTACTTATGATCTAGCACCTTCATAGCAATCATATTCTTGTCAGTTAGTTTTAATAATGACTTGATTCTTAATAAGTAGAAATACAAATTCTTCCCTTCCTGGGAGTAAATATGATTTCATAACTATGCCCTATAATTCTTCTCAAAAAAATAAAATGTTAAAAATCCAAGGGCAGCATTTCATAGAATTGTTTCGTAGGGAGTCAGTTCTCCAAATGGCTTTGTCTTTTGTTTTCTTTTTCTTTTTTGAGACAGGGTCTCATTCTGTCACTTACGCTGGAGTGCAGTGGTGTGATCTTGGCCCATTGCAGGTTCAACTTCCTGATCGAGGTCTCAACTGATCCTTCCACCTCAGTCTCCCAAGTAGCTGGGACTACAGGCATGTGCCACCACGCCTGGCTAATTTTTTATTTTGTGTGTAGAGACAGGATTTTACTATGTTGCCCAGGCTGGTCTTGAATTCCTAGGCTCAAGTGATCTGCCTGCCTTGGCCTCCTAAAATGCTGGGATTACAGGTGTGAGTCACCACGCCCATCCCTTTTTTTCTTTCATGGGAAAATGCTACCACATTTGCGGTGATGAGATTTTTGTACTAATCAGTGCCAGATTTAAAGCCTAGCATGCTATAGAGAATGGAAGAAACAATTCTGGAGTAGTTTTAAGTAGGAGTATAATTACACTTATACACATTGTTGTGATATGGGGTAGGATCCTTTTTAATTAGTTGTAAGACATGTAATAATAACCTGATAGGTGATCTGAAGTGACTCTAGTATCGTGCTTGAATTTGCCTTCTTTAGGCAGTAAGATCTTGAAGAAAAGGAATGCATTGTCTTATCTTTACCTCCACGTGTGACCTATGCTTTGCTTTGCCTCTAATTGTTGCCCAATAGATAAATGTTTTTAGAGCAAGATATCAAAGTAAATTGTAGAACACTGGTGATGTCACAACCTATGTGAGCTTATTCATGCATTTGTTGATTAGTTCAACATTTCTGTATTTCCCATTCTTTAACCCTCTTCTTTATGAGTGAGCTCAGAGACCTGAATGAAAGACAGGGTCGGGGAGCGTGGAGGTCCTAATTCTGATGCTGCCATTAAGACCTGTGCCCTGTTTTGACCTCAAAGATTTCTCTGTGAAATGAGATAGGTGTGTGCATGTGTGTGTTTGTGTGAATGTGTTTGCACATACACACATGTGTGTGCATTTAAGATAATTTTATAACAATTTAAAAAGCGACTTTTTATTAGGCACCTGTTATGAGCTGGGCATCATATACCCATTGTCTCATTTAATTTCATCAACAACACTCTAAGTTTATATCATGATTCCCATTTTACAGGGGAGGAGACATCAGTTTCCTTAAAGAGGAACTTTCCAACCACCAAAGTGGTAGAGCTGGCAGTCAAAGCAAGGTGGGACTGACTGTACACTCTCTCATCTAAATAGTCTACAGGCCCTTTAAGGAGGTCTTGGTTTAAATAGGTTCCAGTCTCTTTTAAACATGTGCTTTATGTTGAATGCTGTATTAGTCCATTCTCACTATAAAGAACCACCTGAGACTGAGCAATTTATAAAGAAAAGAGGTTTAATTGATGCACAGTCCACAGGCTGTATAGGAAGCATGGCTTGGGAAGCTTCGGGAAACTTAAAATCATGGCAGAAGAAGAAGGGGAAGCAGGCATGTCCTATATGGCTGGAGCAGGAGGAAGAGAGAGTAAAGGGAGGGATGCTACCCACTTTTAAACACCCGTATCTTGGCCTGGAGCAGTGACTCACACCTGTAATCCCAGCACTTTGGGAGGCCAAGGTGGCCGGATCACCTGAGGTCAGGAGTTCAAGACAAGCCTGGCCAACATGGTGAAACCCCATCTCTTCTAAAAATACAAAAATTAGCCAGGCGTGGTGGTGTGCGCCTGTGGCCCAGCTACTAGGGAGGCTGAGGCAGGAGAATCTCTTGAACCCTGGAGGCGGAGGTTGCAGTGAGCCGAGATCACACCACTGCACTTCAGCCTAGGCGACAGAGCATGACTCTGTCTCAAAACAAAAACAAAAACAAAAAACCAAACAAACAGATCTCATGAGAACTAACTCACAATCACAAGAACAGCAAGGGGGAAATCTGCCCCTACCATGCCCTTCCTCCAACATTGGGGATTACAATTCAACATGAAATTAGGGCAGGGACATAAATCCAAACCATATCCAACACTTTCCAGAATTTTAGTAGTCAAAAAGCATTAGATGGCCAGGTGTGGTGGCTCATGCTGGTAATCCCAGCAGTTTGGGAGGCCAAGGCGGATGGATTGCTTGAGTCCAGGAGTTTGAGGCCAGCCTGGACAATGTGGCAAAACCGTTTTGTACAAAAAAGTACAAAAATTAGATGGGTGTGGTTGCACATGCCTGTAGTCCCAGCTACTTGGGAGGCTGAGGTGGGAGGATCACCTGAGCCCGGCAAGTCGAGGCTGCAGTAAGCCATGATTGTGCCATGGTACTCCAGCCTGGGAAACAGAGTGAGACCTTGTCTCAATAAATAAATCATTAGAGTTCCTGGCTGCCTAACAGGAATCATTTCTGTTTCTTCTCCCTATACACATTGAGCATCAGTCCTGGACCTGGGATGCTTTTAGATTTCCATCTATTATGACTTAAAGACTCATCCTTGTGTTTATCTAGTTTTTCTCACAATATAAGTTAAGCAGGTTTAACTGCGGAATCTGTGTCAAATCATTGCACCAAATCATTACGTTTTGCCCTTCAGTTCACTGATACCTTCACAAGGATGAAAGTGTCCACTCTTACAGACCAGGGAGCTTTCTTACACTTTATGCCTCTGAGCAGCACTGTAAATAGTGATCACAAGAAACACAGTGTTTAAAAATAGTCTGTCTTCACATCTAGAAGGGTTTTCAGTGTGCTGTGTTTTAAGCTGGAAAGATAGTAAGTACTATTGTATCTCACCCAAGTCTGAAAGGAGTGACCAGTGGGTAGAAAGTAGATGGAAAGTATTTATTTTGTCATGTCTCTTGGCTAGATTGAGTGAACCCCTCATAAAGCCAAGCTGGAATGTGTACTTCATATTACTAATAACCAAAATAGAGTACCCAGAACAGCACGATGCCCTCAAAATGCCTGTATAGCCTAGAAGAGCCGTAGCTCTTAGAGTCATAGTGGGGAGGGATTTTCTGACAAGTAAGACCACTTTATGGGGCACTGTCGGACTCCACAGGAGAGTGGTGGGCCACTGTCCCTAAAGGTGAAGAAAGATGGGTTGCTGTTATGAAGGGGACATTCTCATCCATTCATTTAGTCATTCATTCACCTATCCATCCATTCACTCGTTCTCAGAATTGCTGCTGAACTCCTGCTGTATCAGGTAACATGCCAGGTGTTGGGGAGAGAAAGAAAAAGATACAGCTGGGTGCAGTGGCTCACGCCTGTAATCCCACCACTGTGCGAGGCCGAGGTGAGCAGATCACGAGGTCAGGAGTTTGAGACCAGCCTGACCAACACAGTGAAACCCTGTCTCTACTAAAAATACAAAAATTAGCCAGGCGTGGTGGCAGGTGCCTATAATCCCAGCTACTCAGGAGGTTGAGGCAGAAGAATCACTTGAACCCGGGAGGCGGAGGTTACAATGAACTGGGATCGCACCATTGCACTCCAGCCTCAGCAACAGAGTGAGACTCTGTCTCAAAAAGAAAAAAAAAAAAAAAAGAAGACACACCTTGAGCAAGTTACTCACCTCTTATTTCTCTTGTTTCTTCACAATAGAATATAGAATGTGGCCTCAGGGTGTTGAGAGGA